ATATATATATATATATATATATATATATAGAGAGAGAGAGAGAGAGAGAGAGAGAGAGAGTGATTGGGAGAGAGGGGGGAGCGGAAGAGAGAATTTATGCCGAAAATTAATATTTGTAAGTTTGCTAGAATTTAGGTGTAATTGAGGTCATATAATAACATACACATTAATATGCTGTCAAATTTGGCCGATATTCATAGAGGCTACTCCATCGACCTGTTCATTGGTTATAATTATATAGACTAAGTACATTAATGAATGATCAGTTACCACAAGAGAGATCTGTGATTATTTCCAGCCCTATACACAATAATATAATTAGATTATGCATAATTTAACAAGACTATACTCGTATACGTAAGGGACCAGTGTTCGCATTTCTGGCGTATAATTAAAATAATAGAGAAGTAAATTAGAACATTTGCAATTTCTCAGCAAAAAATGAAACTGGGACATTTGCATGTATATTTTTACATTTTATAACTGAAATCGTTTCGCACACCAGCTTTTTCTATTATTCGCTGAATTATCGTACAGCACATGCCTATACATCACTTTTTTGTTTAAATATCGTTAGAATAAATTACAACGAGACGGAATGTCGGTGTTGTTAGCGTAGTAACGTTTAGTTCAAAGCTCCGGAACTGTTAATGAGACGAGATGTGACTAATAAAACGCGATATATCTGCTGTTTTTTTTTTACTGTTTTAAATCACTACTACTGATTTAATTACTTGTACTTCTGCTGTTTTAATTATTTATATTGATGAAGTACGTTTCACAACCGTGTTGTGGTACAGTGAAACTACATCAGCAAAGTTCAAGTAAACATTAGACACTGAATTATATTGATCTAAATAATTCCACATCTTAAAAAGCGTTTCAAACATTGGTGGAATCACTAGCTAAATGGCGTGCGCATAGCATGCGCCTGTGTCTTTTCAGTCGTAAATAACAATGAGAAAATCAAAACGAGCGAGACACACGAATCACCACGACAAACGTATGACGGGCATCGCGAAGGAAAAACCCGTATCCCGAGAAACGGGGCGTCCGATCAATCCACAGGCACCACGAAATAAGGAAGGAACTCGGGGGGTGACGCGGGTTTAAATGCCAGGGCATCGACAAAACTAGACTAAGCGACACGGCCGTTCCCTTCCGTCGCACGGACGAGTAAGATAAGTCAGTCCCCCCCCCCCCCCCCCCCC